AGGGCCTCTATTTTAGGATTATTAGCTTTTGCATCAAGATGCTACATCTAGATATTAAATTATTCGTTTGTGAATTTAGAAAAATAGTTGGATGCAAAATATATCAAATGATTAAAAAGGGCATATTTTTGAATTGTTATTGTTTATTTATAATTAAATTAGTTTTATATTAGATTAATTTAAGATTATTTCCAATTGATATTTATTATCAAAAATAATTTTTAAAATACATGAAACAAATATTTTTATATTTTTTTACGGAAAAATATGATTTTGCATATTTGATGGGGAAATTGTTTTTACTAGAACTTTGAGTTTTTGATGGAAAATCGTGATTTTGGGTTTTGGCGGAATTTGAGATTTTGCATTTTTGATGGAAAATTGAGACTTTTTTTTGCAGGAAACCAAGATTTTTATTAAAATCAAGATTTTGTGTTTTGGCGGGAAATTAAGATTTTGCGTTTTGGCAAAAAATTGAGATTTTTTTTGTTTTTTTTGCAGAAAATCAAGATTTTTTATTTTAGCAGGAAATCAAGATTTTGTGATGTTTGTGGAAAATCGAGATTTTACGTTTTTTGAAGAGAAATCGAGATTTTTAGTTTTTGGCCAAAAAATAACATTTTGTGTTTTTTTGCGAGAAAACGAGATTTTGCGATTTTTGCGGAAAATCGAGATTTTACGGATTTAGCATAATTTTTTATTTTGGTAAGAAATGATTTTTTGACTAAAAATAATTTGTAAAGATAATTATGAATATCTTATTGTGAGGAGTATTTTAGTCTTTTGGTTTTTGAGATGCTAGATTTGCACATATAACATTTAGGCCATGTTCGGTTTTTGATCTAAATGTTGTATCTAGATTTTGCATCTAGATCAGCATCTTGATACAACATCTAGATATTGTTTGTTTTGGAAACTAGGTTTTGCATCAAGATGCTACGTCTAGATACAAAATTGTTCGTTTGTGAATTTAGAAAAATAGTTGGATGCAAGATATATCAAATGACTAAAAAGAACATATTTTTGAATTATTATTTTTTTAATAAGTGATATTTATAATAAGTGATATCAAACTAAGTTTTAAAAATATATGAAAAAAAATAATTTTGCATTTTTTGCAGGAAAACATGATTTTGCATATTTGACGGGAAAAATTTTTACTGGAATTTTGAGTTTTTGATGGAAAATCAAGATATTGCGTTTTTGGCGGAAAATCGAGCTTTTGTGTTTTGGCAAAAAATCGAGATTTTTCTTTTATGGCAGAAAACCTTGTTTTTTTGTTTTTGGCGGAAAACAAAATTTTACGTTTTTGCGGGAAACCAAGTTTTTTGTTATTGGTGGGAAATCGAGATTTTGTTTTTTTTGGCAGGAATCAAGATTTTTTATTTTCGGCGAGAAATCGAGATTTTTTGTTTTTGGCGGGAAATCAAGATTTTGCGTTTTTGGCGAGAAACAGAGATTTTTCGTTTTTAGAAGGAAATCTAGATTTCTTGTTTTTGGCGAGAAACCGAGATTTTTGTTTTGGCTGAAAATTGAAATTTTGTATTTTTGATGGGAAACCAAGAAATTTTTGTTTTGGCAAAAAATCGAGATTTTTGTTTTTGGATGGAAAGCGAGAGTTTTTGTTTTTGGCGAGAAACCGAGAATTAACATTTTGGCGGGAAATCAAGATTTTTTTTGCGGAAATCGAGATTTTTCATTTTAGCGGAAAATCGAGATTTTGTCATGTTTGTGGAAAATCAAAATTTTGTGTTTTTGATGGAAAATCGAGATTTTGATTTTTTGGTAAAAATTTGAGATTTTGCGTTTTTGACGGAAAAACGTGATTTTACGATTTTTGCATAAAATCAAGATTTTGGAAAAAATAGATTTTTTGGTTTAGCTTAACTTTTTGTTTTGATAAGAAATGATTTTTTGACTAAAAAATAATTTTTTAAAGATAATTATGAATATGTTATAGTGAGTAGTATTTTACTCTTTTGGTTTTTGAGATGTTAGATTTATATCTATACTCTACATTTTTCAGTATTTTAAATATCTATATTTGAGCATTTGCATTCAGATTCAAGTTAGTTCTAAAGTGTCTAAACGAATAATATTTAAGTATTTACATTTAGATGCAGGTCTGGATGAAAAAACAAACAGAACCTTAAATGTTAGTTTTAAAATGTCTAAACAAACAACATTTGAGTATTTGCAGATGCAAAAACGAACAGTACCAGAGAAAGCTTTTGTGGGCTTATCAATTGGGCCGTATCAACGAAGATGAACTTAGAAAAAAAATGGGATTATTTTAAAAATGAGTTCAACTAAAAATATTCCGATTTCTGAGGTTATTCTAGAAACCTAAGAAAATTTGGTATCGCAGCCGCAGCAGACGGAGAGTAATGGCGAGCACTTCGTCGTCTTCCTCATCTTCTGCTCGCGAATTCGAAGTTGAGAAGGAGATTAAGAGGCAAGAGGTTGCAATAGATGAATTGAACTGTCTCTCTTCTTCTCGTAGAGTCTACCACATAAACGGGAACCTCTTCTTCCTCACAACCGCGGAGAAAGCGAAAAAGAATGCGCAAAAACAACT